CCCCCCAAAAAAAAAAAAAAAAAAAAAAAAGGATAGAAACTACAGCTCTAGATCATCAGAGTGTAGAAGAAAAGGAGCAGAGGAAAGTAAAACAGAACCAGCCGTGGACAAGAGAGGAGACGGTGCTCAGAACAGACAGATCCTCTCCTGGCCTTACCAGCAACCAGGGATATCTAACAGGGTGTCACCAAAGTCAGGCCTCCCAAGGAAAATAGATATTACTGGGCCACAAGAGCTGAGCCCATGTCCTTTGGTGGCAACAGGCGGAGCCACAGGTGGGATCTGACTTTTACTGGCTGCAGACCCTGTCTTTCACTGGCAGAGACCTTTCTGCCTAAATGCAGTTGGACATGCAGGACAGGCTAATTTATGCAAGGCTGAGAATCTTCCTGCCCTGGGACTTGGAAGCTGGCAGACTGGCAGCAGGCACTGCAGGCCTGGCATAGCTCAAACCTCATGGCTTTTAAACTGGGGCTGGAGGTGTGGCACGTCTTTAACTATAAGAGGCCCCACAGGGCAGAACAAATGCACAACAGGACACTGCATAAAAGGAGTGTTCTGTGGTCCCTTCTTCCCCAGGCCCGGCCCAACAGTGGACACCACAGAGGACTGCTCCCACAGGGACACACAGGCATGGTGTTTCGGAGCTGTATTCAAAGCCTGCTCTGACCTGGAGGTGCAGACCTGAAGCTTTCATGCCCCTCAACTGTAAGGTGAGGTCACACCTCCACCACGGGGCTCCTGTGATGAAGGGTACAGAAGGTCTTGCTCAAATCCTTGCTGATATGGGGACATCAGTCAGGTATCTGGACGAATCATAGTCTGCCACGTCCAGAGAAGGCAGCTGCCCTGCACGTGCTCATTTATTGACACAACCCATTTTGCTGATGGGGAAATGGAGGTGTTTGGTCTCTGGAGCTGAGCTCTAATGCATAGAATTCCCCTGTGCCCACACTACTTTATGCCACTTGATCCTCTCTTCATCACAGCTCTAGGAAGTCATCACTGTGCTTATCTCCACTTAAGAGAGGAGGAAAGACACCCAGGGAGGTTGAGCCACGGAGCCCCAGAGCTGGTGAGTGGTACAGCGGGACCGTGAGCCCAGGCCACTCGAATCTGGGATCTGTGGCGTTCTGCTGCTCCACACCTCCCCAGCACTGTCCCTGGGAGGTCCATCCAGAGTCCACGACTCTGGCCACAGCAGGAGCGCCCACGACTCCGGCCACAGGCTCTCCTTCTCAGAGATCCCTCCTCTCCGATATTCAATGGCCCTCATGAGAAAGTAGGAACTCAGCCCTGGAGTGGTCAGACCCTGAGGCAGGCGGCCCAGGAGGCTGGCAGGGGGCGGAGGGATAGTCATTATTTTTCCAGTTTACAGATGTGAAAACTAAGTCCTGTTTTCCACATAATGCTTCTAAAGTGCCCGGGCTCAGCTTATGGACAAAGTGTGGACAGCAGGAACTAGTTTTTAGCTTTTCCTCTTGACCAGAGAGAGCAGACTGAAGACATTAGGGGACACTGGGCACCCTGGGGCACAGGTGCACGTGACACCAGACAGCATGGCCCAGCTAAGCAGTGCAGCCCACAGTGCAGCCTCTGTAGGCTGGGCTCAGGGTTTGTACGCGGCAGGGCCCAGTCACACTGCACGTGGGGACAGATTTCTCCAGTCCTCTAGGTGGCCCTCTAGGTTATGATCTACACTTGGAGCAGGGACTGTGACCCATTTGCTGAATAATCCTATCTGCCTCTTACCGAGCCTCATAGTCTGCCCAGGCCCACACCAACTGCTGTGCAGTAGGCGCTAGCCTACTTTCCCAGAGGAGGAAACTGAGGCTCAGGGCAGCCTTTGCACAGCCACAGGACTTAGAGTGCAGGCGGAGCCTCACACCAGGCCTTCAGGGTTTGTGTAGGGACCACTTCCCCATCATGGCTGGGAAGAGCTGGTGAACTCAAGATGGTGAGAGTGTGGATGGGGACCCATCTTCTGAGTGCCAGTGCCCAAGCTGGACTGGCTTCTCCTCTCTCTCCTCAGCAGATGACCAGCCTTGGGTCCTCTCCAGCAAAGCTCCAGGAGCTGAAAGCTTCTCTCATTGCAAATCTCACATTTGCTCATTTTGGCAATTGCAAAGAACCCCACACCCACTCTCAGGGAAGGACAAACAAGGACATCAGTCACCCTGCCTGTTACAGCCCACTCTGCTGGTATGTCCAGCAGCTCCACAGCCACAGAACTGCCCCTGGAGCCCCATGGTCCCTGACCAGAGCCTGAATCTGAGAGATCTGCAGCTTGTGGCAAGGCTTGCCTGGGCAGCTAGAGTCGACTACAGTCTTTGGTGCAGTGGCTCCACACCTGAGCCTGGATGAGGGCACTCCTGAGCTTGAGGTGGGGAGGATGGTGGCTGGGCTTCCAAAAGGACCAGTGTGGGTGGAGCTAGGAGAACAGAAGTTCTTTCTGGGCATGGAGGGTTCTCTCCAGCTACCTTTATGCCTCTGCCTTAAGAACTGGATGCCTGTAGATTCCCAGGATAAGGAACCTACCACCCCCTATGGTGGTCGTGAGGCGTCCTTTAGGCTGACTTGGCCCTGAACCCAGCTCTCTTCCTGCAGTCCTCTCTTGGGTCAGACTTAACCACAGTGAGGCTCTATTTCCTGCCATCTCTGAAGGGCAGAACACAGCTCAGCTAGAACACCTGAAAAGGGCAACTCTGGCACTTGAGCCATTCCCGAGATATACCTGCTGGTAAGTGTTAAGAATATGGCCCCAGGGCCACCTCAAACGGTAGTTTCTAGGGCTAGTGTTCCACACCTACCTTCAACAGGTGAGGTCTTGAGGCGCCGGCAGATGGCTTCAGTGTCCCCATACGTTTCCTTGATCTTGACCACGGCCTCTGTGCCCCGCAGCTCCATGAGGGAGCGGAGCTCCTCCATAGTACACCCGAACTCACCCCCATGGCTTGACTCATTTCTTTGGTTTTTGGAGTAAAAGTCACTGTTGGTCATATCACCCATGTCTGCTGAAGTCCCTGCGTGGGGTGGGCCTGAGAGTCAGCACTGGACACCAGGATTCTGGGAGGGCGTGTGTAGCTGTCCTCAGCACACCTCACTGGACTGCTGCAGCTCCAGGCGGCCGACTCCTGGTCCCAGGGGGAGGCGGCGGCTGAGGTGGGCTGGCAATAGCAGTGGTGAGCTCCAAGGGATGTCCCCAAATGCGGGGCAAGGTCCAGGGGCCAGAGGGGCTCAGGGCTGCAGACCCAGAAGTCTCCATTCAGCGAGGCCCATGCTGCTCCCAGAGCTGGAATCTACATGGTCAGGGGCAGTGGCTCCTGTGGGGACAAGGACAGCATGGGTGACAAGGGCAGGCACAGGAGACCTCAAGGAACAAGTGCTCAGGAAGATCCAGGGTACAGGTGTACACACACCAGCCGAGGCAACACGCACCACATTCGCGTGTACTCTTAACACACATTTTGCTCAACGCTCCTAACCCACCACCACACACTGTAAATCCAAAGCTATCAGCATCCATCCAGGCACCCCATGGTTTACCACCCTGAGGCATAGCCTGGTACAGCCCCACAGCACACTAGTCCCCTAATTTTTCACCATGCTGTGGAACACGCTAACTTCCAAACACATTCCCTGGATGCCTGTACACCTCCAGCACACACCCACCAATCCACAGCCCCACTTCACACCACTGTATCGAACACCCTTGCACACCATCACACATAGCAGCATTGCTAGGCATACAACATCTGCCCACACCCATTTTCCTCAAAAACACCTACATGCACGGCTCCTCTGTGCACTCCAAGCTGTTTCCCCTTTCCTGACTCCAACAGTTTTACAAATGCCCTGTATCTATATGATCTGGGACATGTCCCTGCTCCCAGGTATGCAGCCCAGGGCCCTATACAGAGATGATTTCCCCACGCATGCCACCTCCACATCCTACATCCCTCCCCACTGGAGTCCCACAGGAATAGGGGTGGGAAAAGCCCTAACCTCCTCCCATAGCCCCCAACCATGTCAGCCAATGCCCTCACCCTGGCCAGAGAGGCCGGCTCCATCCCTGTTCCAGAATGGGTTCTTGGATCCCTCACCTGGGACCCCAGAGAGGAGCACCACAGACAGCAGCTGACTGTCCCAGCCAGAGCACAGGAGGAGGGCACACAGGCCACCCACACAGGAGTGCAGCATCTGCAGGGCTGCCAGGAGAGAACCTGATCCACCTGGACACCCAACACCAGGGGCCGAGAGCCCTGCAAGCGTTGGGTGACAAAGGGCCCCTTCTGAGCTCTGCTGAGGGCTGGCACAGGGACCGGCCCCGCCCAGCAGCTGTGGACAGTGACGGGGACAGGTCTGAGCTGCTCGCCCCTGCCCCAGCCCCTCCCTGCTGGATCTTTCCTCACAGTGCTTTCTTCTATACATTCAGAGCTGGACACATTTAAGGTTAGTTTCATCTACCCTGTGGGGACCCTGCAGCTCTGGCCAAACCACAGATCAAGAACGCAGAGGAGCCAGAATGAGATGGTCCCTGGCTCACAGCCCAAGCTCTTTCCCCTTCCCCAGGGAAGCACTCCCTCCTTCCTCCTCAATGCTGAGCAGTGGGTGCACTGTACCAGGCAGTAGTTAAGAACACAGGATATGGAATCAGAGAGATCCAGGTTCAAATCTAAGCTTTGCTACAACCTGACTTGGCATGCTGGATAAGTACCTTCAGTTCCAGAATCTTGGCTCCTTCATGTCTAAAACAAAATAACCATCACTCTCCTTTTTCCCCTGGCTACTTCCTAAACTTCCTGGGAGTAGTGATGCATGTTCAAATCCCCTAAGTACTGGGCTTCTCAGACATGGGTCAGGGGTGCTGCAGCCTTAGGAGAAACCCACTGTGCCTCATAGGAGGTACTTTTACTCAAGGATGCAGGAAGAAGCTTTCCCTCCATTTCCTTTTTACATTGGGACTGATGGGGATCTAATGGAGTAGAACATAATAGGGACATGATACCTCCAGAAGAGACGTGGGTACCGGGTAAACTGAGGGCTGGTCTTCCATCTCCATTTCTGCAGGTGTGTTCACACTGACATGCACCCGGCCCAGAACTCACCTGAGATTTCACTCTAACCGGAAGCAGGTGAGGTGGGGGCCAAGCCTGCTTATGAATGAGAACAGCATCGCCATGCCCTCTCCCCCTCTTCTTAAGTGCATGCCATGTGTCAGACTGTGCACCTGGTATTATCTGTAGGAGCTGGGGTCGAGCTGAGTGGCAGAACACTTGCCTCACATGTGCAGAGCCCTGGGTTCCGTCATCAGCAGACAGAAAATGGGGGGGGTGCATAGGATGGGGAGGAAAAGGAAGAAAAGGGGAAACTATTCCTACATTATCATCCATCAAGAGACAAATTCTGTGGAGGCCAAAAGTTTGTATGTTTCGTAGGCTGCTTTGACTAGAAAAGTGACTAGTAGGTACCGAATAAACAGCATTCCTATCTGCACAAGATCCCACAGCAGGGAGGCATCAGCGAGAGGAAGACCTTTTTAACCTAAGACCTTAGACCCTTGTCACCACCTCCTAAGAAAGGGCTAGCTCAATGGCCCAACCTCAGTATCAACCTCACAGAGGAGTTATTTCATGTAAAAACTTAGAACCAAGTCCAGCACATGGCAAGTACGCAGTGATTACTGTGATTACCGTCAATCCACACAACCTCTCTATGTGACAGGCAATCTTGTTCTCTCCACAGAACACATGTGCAAACCATGACTAAGAACGAGGAGCGCAACTGCCTAAGGTCACATGGCTGAGCAGTGGGAGAGCTGGGGGTCTGAAAGCGGGAGGCCTGAGGTGAGAGACAGACTCCTAGGCGGGACACCAGAGGCCTACTCTGGTAAATGCCCCTAAACGACTTCTTAGGGGGCATAAATGAATTGCCAGGTGAACTAGAGGGCTTTGAAAGCCACAGGGGACTTTTAAAATCCAAGGTGTTGCTTTGCATCTGTCCCCCGGAAACCTGCAGCGTGACTTCAAGGCACTGGCAATTCCATCTCTGATAGCATAAGCTATGGGAATTGCCAGCAGTGATTATATCTGTGATCACACTAGTAGGCACGAGTTAATGGGCTACTGTCAGTATTAATCACTTTCGTGTTAAGATGAACTATAATCTTCAACCTCTATCCACCCACCTGTGAATCCATGCATCCAGCCATCCAGCTATCCACCTATCCACCATTTACTCACACACCCAGCTAGCCAGCCATGCATTCACCCATCTGCCCGCCCATCCATCCATCCATGTGACAATCCCCCATTCACTCACTCACTCACCTACCCACCCATCTACCTATCCATCCATAGGTTCCCGTGTTTTGGGAGCCTATTTGGTGCCAGAAAAATATGGCCATGACCTCTAGGAGCTGACAGTGAGGAAATGAGACAAATCAGTGATTTCCACGGCTTGACAGGGTTGGCACAATGGGAAGTTCCACGTGCTGTGGACGTCCAGAGCAAGAAGATCTGACCCAGCCCAGAGCCATAGGACAGGCCTTTTCTCTTAAATCTGACTAGGAATTATTTCTTTTCCCTTCAGGTTAAACAGCACTTAAGCCAAAAGATGCACCAGGAAGAAAGAGAAATATGCAATTGTTAGTACAGGCAGACAGAGACACAGTAAAAGATGCAGGAAGAAACCAATGGGAATAAGGGTGGAGGATAAAAACTCAAGGATGACAGTCAGTTCAAACTGAAAGCTCCATCCCAAGTAACTCCTCTCATGTCTCCGTCCCTTCTGATGCTGCTTAACCCCAGCCCCAAATCTCATGCCTGCACACATGAGGTCACCTCTGTGCTGGGTGTCTTGGTCTTCCTTCCAAGTTGTCTAGCTCATTTCAATGCTTGCTTTGACCAGGAGATTTGCTCAATTCAAAACTGTGAGGTCCACAGGCACAGAAGCACTTGATAGTGTAATGCAAGTGGATGGTCACAGTGTCCACAGATGCTCTCCACTCTTGAAACCTGTAGCTCTGCCACACACCTGCACAGAAGACCCTCCACGCCCTGCGCTATGCCCTTCCTGATGGTGTTGTCCCCAGGTTCTCTTCCTGGAAATGTCCCTCACCGTGTGGCCTACGAAGATTCTCCTGGTTCCCAACCATAACCCACCTCACATTACATTGCTCAGGACCGCTTGACTCTGAACCTTGTCCCAGGGACTGGAGAGCATCACGTGGGCAGTAGCCGTGTCTGATCTGGGTGTGGCGCAGGGCCTGGATCTAGCAGGTGGTCAATAAATGTTTAGTGAATAAATGAAAACCTGGCTCAACTTTAGGTCTGTATAAGAGATATGACTTTAGATAGGTCCTCAGATGGCCTCAGTTTATTCTTCTGTGAAATGGGCAAGTGATTCTTGTCCTGCCTCCCTTATGGGTTTTCTGGAGGTCAGGAAAGGTAAGAGTCAATAGTCATGGCTTTGTCCTTGAGATGCTTCTCCTACCCTCCACACCCCAGTTCCCTCCTGTGTAATGGGCAGGGCTAAGAGTCTGCAGCCGGGTCAGGCTGCTGCCTCCTCAAGCCCCGGCTTCACTGGACTCTGATGTTTCAGCTGCATCATCACACGCCAGCCATGAAATGAGCTGCGTGACCCCGGAGAAGCCTCACTGTAAAGACGGCCCCATCAGTCCTCAGGCTTCTGTGAAGACCCAGTAAGATCCAGCTACAACGATGGCTTCCTGGAGTCCCCCTAGGCCATCCCAGGTCACCAGGAAGATGTGTAGCCAGTCCTGGGCCCAGAGAGGTTGAGCAACACATCAGGGGCCACACAGCCAATGGAGGCCAGGGCCTGCTGAGAAGCTCTTCCCTGAAGGCCCAGCTCTAGTCCTGTGACCTTAATCAAGCGCCTTCCTCTCTGGGCCTCATTTCCCCATTTGGCAAGTGAAGGGATTGGAGTAGTGCTCTCTGGAATTCCTTCAGACTCTGAAGTTCCAAGCCCTTTAGGAAGGAGAAAACACCTGACAGTACTGAATTCCTGCCTTTCAGCTTCATTTTATTAGCATTTAAATGACTGCATTCTTATACTGCAATGACTCAAGAATCCGTTATAAGACTCTTAATAAAAAGTCTTTGCCAGAAAGGATGCTGGCCAATTGAGGAATGAGCAATGTTTTTTGGGGGGAATTAATTTAACAAATTAAAAAACTATCTTTCTCAAAGGAAAGATTTTAAACACACAACTCACTCACACACACACACACACACACACACACACACACACACAAAGCCCAAACAGCTTTTCAGGTCCCAAATGAAAGATGGTAGCTGAGACA